GACTGCTAGGTAGTATGGGCCAGAGGTGTGAAAACCAGGGCTTCTACTTCTGGCCTACTTCCTCTTCCATAAGGTCTTACTGCCCCCTCAGGTATTATTCTTATGGTAGCTTTGTGCCTTCCAGTCTTGTTTTTGCTTTATGTGTATGCTCTGTCAGCCTAGGCACTACTGAAAGATGTTTCTAGGAGGAACTGCGGGAGAGTAAATGCTATACTCTGGACTCTGGCTGGACTAACCTGTTGTTTCTTGCACCAGCACCCCCTTTTGTGGCTCGAGAAACACTACGGGCCTGGCAAGAGAAGAATCACCCTTGGCTAGAGCTCTCCGATGTTCACCGGGAAACAACTGAGAACATCCGTGTTACTGTCATCCCCTTCTACATGGGCATGAGGGTGTGTGTCCAGCATGAGGGTATGGGGGTCCTTCCTGGATCAGGTCCCAAAGTCTGTGCAGTGTCCCCAGTGTGACTCCAGGGATAGAGGTTCTGCTCCTAAGTGCTCATATATTGGGTGGGGTTGAGTCAGTGGCTGACACCTAGATCTATAGCTTTTGAGTATATCTATATACTTTTGAGTAGCCATTTATTGAGTAGTGTCTTGTCTTGTAAGCTAATCCTGGGGACACAAATACAGTTCCTGTCTCCCAGAAGTTCATGGGATATTTTGGCATCCAGTATACAAAGTATGGCGGGGGGAAGAACAGTAGAGGATGGACCCATGCAGCACTGGGGGGAGGTGGGGGTGTTAGGACTGGCAAGGAGGGTGATGAGAAACTAAGAGTCCTAGAGTTATTTGTATTGGCATCCAGCTGTTGGCAGTCCTGACAGTTCATAAGGGGGAACTAGGAAGGACAGGAAGCTGCCTCTTTGTGGGCTTGCAAAATAAATCATCATCCCAGAGACACTGGCAGCTTGGTGAATCTCTGCAACCTCCCTGGTGGAATACTTGGACTCCTTTGTAGATGTGTTGATTGAAACAGATTTGGTCTTGTGCTCTGGGGCTTAAATTCTTGTTTTTCTTCCCTAGGAAGCCCAGAATTCCCATGTCTACTGGGTGAGTGTCTCCCTCAGGGGAGTAGAGAACTCTGGGAGTATGGCAGGGCTGGGGAATGTCTGCATCCTGAGCAGCATTGGTGTCAGCTTTTGTTGCCTTTTGCCTTCTACAGGACTCGAGATGGGCTTATCCAAGGTCTCTTGTTTCTCAAACTTGAACTCTGTCTTTCATCCCACAGTGGCGCTACTGTATCCGCTTAGAGAACCTGGACAGTGATGTGGTGCAGCTTCGGGAGCGGCATTGGAGAATATTCAGTCTTTCTGGCACCTTGGAGACCGTGCGAGGCCGAGGGGTGGTGGGCAGGGTGAGCATCATGGTCTTTCTCTGTGGTTACATATGGAGACTTGCTGTATGAACACAATGCTTGTCCTGGGCTAGAAATCTTACAAGCCTGTGAGATAGATTGCTTATAATCCATTTCACAAATGAAGATAATGAAATTGGTACATTAATAGTAGAGGGCAGGGCAAGGATTTCAATCCAAGTGAGTCCAACATCAAATCTTTGAGAATCAGGGTCTCACTATGTAGCTTTAGCTCTGCCTCTGCCTCCTGAGTCCTGGATTATGTATGTGTGTGCCATCACATATGGCATTTTTTTGCATATATACTTTTGCATAGTTCTTTTTTTTTTTTTGGTCAGTCATGGGGCTTGAACTCAGGGCCTGAGCCTCTTTGTGCTCAAGGGTCCCGCTCTACCACTTTGAGCCACAGTGCCACTTCTGGGTTTTTGGAGTTCTTGGAGATGAGAGTCTCTTGGGGACTTTTCTGCCCGGGCTGGCTTTGAACTGCTATCCTCAAATCTCAGCCTCCTGAGTAGCTAGGATTACAGCATGAGCCACCAGCACTGGGCTTTGCAGAGTGTCTTAAAACCTGAATTTGAGGGTTGGGAATGTGGCTTAGTGGTAGAGTGCTTGCCTAGCATGCATGAAGCCCTGGGTTTGATCCCTAAGTACCACATAAACAGAGAACACCAGAAGTGGTACTGTGGCTCAAGTGGTAGAGTGCTAGTCTTGAGCAAAAGCAGCTCAGGGATAGTGCCCATGCACTGAGTTCAAGTCCCAGAACTGGCAAAAACAATAACAACAAAAAAACCCCCCTGACTTTGAATTTGCTTACATGGAGTGTGATTCCCCTACCACTCACAGTTTTCATGTCTCTGCCTCTCTGCATTTGTACATCCTTTGCTGGTCCATTTTATTTTTGGAATCATTCTCTGCTTGTACCTGTCTGTCTGTCTCTTTTATTTGCCAGTAATAGGGCTTGAACTCAGGGCCTGATGCCCTCAGCTTGCTTGCTTGCTTGCTTTTTTTTTTTCTGTTGGTCATGGGCTTGAACTCTAGGGCTGGGTGTTCAGAGAGCGCTCTAGCACTTGAGCCACAGTGTCACTTCTGCCCTCAGCTTTCTTGCTCATGGCAGATGTACCATGATCCACACCTCCAGCCTCCCTATCCTGTCTCTTAAAAATTAGTGTCACAAGTAGTACTAATGCCGGGCCCATATTCAGCAAGCATGTTAGGAGAGGTTTGGAGAAGCAAAGTGGAAAAGTGAGAAACAGGGCTTTACATTCTGGATGTTTATACTCACTATATAACTTTGGGTAAGTTACTTAGCCAAAATATGATTCTTACTGCTGAAATGGGGACCATACATACCATGTTATGATCACTAGAATTCAGTCAGTGAAGGCTTGCAGAGTACTTGCCATGATGCCTGTCTGTCCCTTAGTTCTGTAGGAGCAGGTCTTATACTCAGCATCTTCCTCAGTGCCTTAAGTCTGAGGTTATTTTTCTCAAAGTCAATAAAAGACCCAGGCCAGTGGCCACGCTGGGGGAGAAGCTGTCGATAGCTAAGTCATTGTAGATATGGTTGGTGTGGTGGGGACATCCAGTCCTGAGGAACTGGCAATCAGAATGTGACCCCAGTTACAGGGAATGTGGGGCCTAAGGTGTCTAACCCATTTTGCCTGAATCTTTACAGGAGCCAGTGTTATCCAAGGAGCAGCCTGCGTTCCAGTATAGCAGCCATGTCTCCCTGCAAGCTTCTAGTGGGCACATGTGGTAAGCAAATGTGTGCCAGGGCATGGGCTGATCAATTGCAGACAGCTTTGGGGTAGAGAAATAGGAGCTCAAAGGATACATCTATATCCTCAGCTCTGGTAGGTAGATGAATTCAAGACCAGCTTGGGCTACAAGCTTAAGAAAAAAGTTGAAAGCTCATAGTAAGCTCAGCTTGTAGTCAACATCAGGCTAAGTCAGGTCCTAGAAGGAACTTTGGCTGCTCTTCATGGTTATGTGGGACTCATCTAGTTTTTGCAACTGCCTGTTTCCTAGAAACCTATTTCTCAGGGTTAAGGATTTAGCAGGGTATTTGAGTCTACACCGAGTTGCTCAAGTAATAGTTTTCCCCCCTGGTGTTTCAGGGAATCTCAGAGTACAGTTGAGTAGATTCTAATGGGTCAGAATCTGTGTAGTTGTGTTTGTTTTTGGTAGTACTGGGACTTGAATTTCCTAGGCAGATGTTCTACCACTTAAGCCACATTTCCAGCTCTATTTCATATAGGGCCAAGAGGGGCTCTTGTATCTTTGGTCTAGTCATCCCTTCATGAACTAGACAGAAGAGGGCATAGACCTGCTTCATCCTGCTCTGGCACCAAGGGCATCTAGCCACCCAGGTCCTTAAGAGGGCCTCGGCCTTGATTCCCTCTAAACTAGCTTCTCTCTGACCCTCAGGGGCACGTTCCGCTTTGAGAGACCTGATGGCTCCCATTTTGATGTCCGGATTCCACCCTTCTCCCTGGAAAGCAATAAAGATGAGAAGACACCACCCTCAGGCCTTCACTGGTAGGCCAGCTGAGGCCCTGAATGCCCAAGCTTGGCCGCTCAGAACAGCTCTCAACCCACAATTGCTGCAGAACTCTAATCTCTTCCCCATCATGGGCCACAATGGGTCTCTTAATCCTTTGCACCATTTGATTATGGGCCTCTGTTTTTTTGGGGAAGGGGTTGTAACTGTTTTCTTTGAAGACCCACATAGGACTACTCCAAGGCTAGCCTCCTCATATGCCCTGCCTCTATCATGTTCCAGCAAACCTTCCCACCAAGGAACTGTTTTCAACTGCTACAGGCCTTGGGGTTTCCTGGCCTGTCACACTGTCTGGAATATGAGGTTGGTCAATAAACCAGTGCATGCTTGGCCACCCTCGCCATTTCTTCCCCCAGAGTCTCATGATGGGGTCTTCTGACCTAGTAGGGGCCTTTGATTGCCTTTTATGTAAGGTTACTTCTAAGGAGCTACCTCCTCTGCTAGGGTTTGTTGGTTCCCTCTGAGGCTGGAAGCTAACATCTTCTAGGCGGCACTGTGTCAGTCAGTCAGAGAGAACACACTAGATTAAATGCTTGTTCTCTTTCTGCTCTGCCAAGTGTAGGGAAGCAGCTAGCATCAGGGATGGAGAGGCCTGGCTCTTAATACTGGCCAACCACTGCCTTCTCTGACCTCACCAAGCCTGGGAGAAGGCAGGCCAGTCGGGTGTTCTGAAGCAGTGTGCTTGGCAGTAATAAGCACAAGTCTGTAAGGCATCCAGACCACAAGCACAGGAATTGGCTAACAAGCTGCTTAAGATATGGATGGTGACCAAGCCAAGCTACTTCCTCAGCGTCTTCCAGATCTCTAAGCGCCAGAGAGGAATTGGGCTCATTGGTCCCAATCTTTAGGAGTCCTGCCCCATTGCCCTAGTGGTTGTTAGAGGACAGTTCACTCTTGAATTAATAGTAAATCTCAGTTCTAGTCCTTGTTAGTGTTTTGCTTAATCCCCCACCAGGGGGAGCTTGGGCTGTAGTGCAATATAGTAAGTAGTCATACGACCTAGACTGAACACAAAAAGTCTGATGGGGAATAGAAATTTAGGAACTGAGTCCGCAACTCTACTTACTGCAAACATAGGTCTGTGCCAGTGCAGCATTATACAATTTTATTAGAAATTAGTGTTTACTTCCATCACTTAGGCTGAGCCACAAAGGATTGCAGTTATATGACAAAGGAAAAGTTCTCTCATGCCAGATCTGTGCCATCTTCGGAGAGACCATGGTTGCACACCAAATTTAATAAAACCTAGTCCTGGGTTTTATTTCTGAGGAAATGCCAGTTTCCTCAGAAATTGACAGTTTGACTTTTATCCCTACTCTGTATACTTTCCCTTAGGCTGCTTTTCTTTGGAAAATTCATAGTGTCAAGATCTGCTTTTTCATCCCTTGGGAACAGAGATTTCGCACACCCATATGTCACAAAGTCCACTCAACAAAGCTAAGATCACTGTTAGTGTTTTAGACCAAGATTACTTCCAGTCAAAGAACATAAATGCCCAGCGTCAGACTACTGTGCTTCCTTAGAACCCAAGACTAGATCCTGTTAAGAGCGGAAGGCCTGAATATCAAAGTAAGTAGAGGCTAAAAGGGATGTGGAGGTTAAAGAACAAGCATGGAAATACCTCAGTGGGAAGCTGGGAATTCGCATACTAAAGGGCTTCATGAGAGCAGCTGAGAAAATAGGCTGGTGGCCTCAGGTTGAAGCATTCCAATCTCTGTGGGAAAGCCACAAAGCCAAAGCTTGAATTTGTGCAAGAAATGGATTGTCTTAATTCCAGTGAGGGCTATAAGAATTAGCTGATCATCAAGGTGCCTGATCTGAGTCTTAGAACTATTTATACATTCAAGACTGTGACTTAAAATGCCTGATTAAGTCATATCACCCCTGCTCCATGTCTTTTGACAGGTCCTTGAGTGCCCAACTCTGGGCCTGGCATTTTCCAGTAGTCAGCACTGTGTGGCCACTTAGTGATCATGAGTAGTCAATAGTGATAAACCTGATCACCTGTGCTCCTCCCCAAGGGAGCAGGCATTGTATGTGGCCATGGTGCTCTGTCCAGCAGAGACCATCAGTTCCTTCCCTCACAGCATTCCTCTGGAAACAATTCAGATAAGCTGCTTCAAAGGGCCAAGGCAAACAAAGGAATGAAAACCAAAGTCCTGAGGAGAAACTCATACCCTGTCTGGTGCTTGACATCTCTAGGCCAAGTGACCCCCTAAAAAGAATGAGAAGGGCCTCCTATCACTCTTATCACTCACCACAGGGCAGAACCACCTTCTCTACTAAGAACATGGATATCAGGGGTGAGCCATCCATGCAGGGCCTGCTGGGATCCCAGGTATCCCAGTTTGTGGTCCTCAGCTGATGGGTATACAGGCTGGCAATGCGCAATGCTTGGGATCTGCTGCCTTCCTGATGTATTTCTGATCCAAAGGAGCTCTTGGCCCCCAAGATAGCTTTTGCCTTTATAGTATATAAGGGCATTGTGTCTTGGGACTGAGGGCACCAAAGAGCAAGAGTCAAAAAGAACCCTGTTAGATGTAAGGAGCGAGTGACGTGGCTCTAAGATGTTGGGTGGAGTCTTTCCACAAGATACTGTGAAGACCTCAGGTCCCAACTTCCTTCCTTGGTGCCCTTTGGGCTGGCTGGCCAAGACCAGCAAAGCTAAAGCTGTTCAGGTTCTATTTTTTTCTTTTTTATTGCTTTTTTTTTTTTTTTTGGAGAGTCTTGCTGAACAGCCCAAATTGGCCTCAAATTTGGGATTCTCTTACCTTAGCCTCACAAGTACTGGGATTATAGGTATTTACTACCACCTCCAGCTAAAAATTGATTCATCTTTATCCCCTCCCTCAAGTGTTTCTATTTCTACAGGAAAGGGGATTAAGGTGAGAAAGATGGATTGGGACACAATACAAATCTCCTGAATAAAAGTACACAGTGCTTTAAGGATAGATCCCAAAGGCATCAAGAAGAGTTAGCTGAGGGGTCTGCTTTAAGCAGGGTGCTGGCAAGCTGTGGAGGCAACAAAAATGCCTAGTCCTCACTCATAAGACCGAAAGTAATTATTTCCTAGTTTCTTTTTTTTTTGGTGGTCCTGGGGACTGAATCAGGGACTTGCACATTCCAAATAAGTCCTCTACCACTGACTGAGCTATATGCCCAGTCCTCTAGAAATTTTCACTTTGAGATAGGGTCTAGATAAGTTACCCAGGTGGCATCAAACTTTTGATCTCCTGCCTTAGCCTCCCCGATATCTAGGCTTAAAGGCATGCACCATTATATCTAATATCTATACTATTTAAAACCTAAGCTTGTCAAACCTATGCTTAAACACTTTAGGAAGAAGCCCCTTCCTGTTAAAAGAGTAGGCCTCTGTAGCACCAGAAGCTGCCTTTCTTCCCGAGTGAAGCCATTCTTCACGGGAATGGCTTCTTAGCTAGAGGTGTGTGTCCATGTACCCCAGAGCAGAAGCATCTTCCTGTTGGGCAGGAAGGGAGCAGCTCTGGAAGTGCTAGGGGAAGGGACCCTGGCAGGTCCTCTGACCTCCCAGGCAGGGCTCATCACCTCTGCATGCTGGAGCTGACTCCAGCTGGCAGCAGCAAGGGGTGGCCAGTAGGGTTGGAGGGGCTCCACAGGATGGCAGGGCCTTGTCAATCGCGATGGGTAGACTGGTGGCCGAGCTGCCTGTCATCATAAGTGCTGTAGCGCTTGACATGGATGCGGCGCACTCGGTCCCGGAGTTCAAAAGTCTCCTCATCTTCACTGGGGGAAGCCTGGCTGTGACTCCGGCTTGTGGCCTCCAATAAGGAGTTGTCGGGGACGCGGGGGGTCTCATAGAGTAGAACGTTCAGTGTCTCTTCATAGATTCGGGCCTCTGGGAATTCCACCTGGAGTGAAGGAGACAAAACTGAGTTCCATCTCAGTGGGAGTGCCTACCTGTGCTCTTGTGGACCTCCACAAAGCCTGTACCTCACAAGACCAGTGGCTGGCTAATGATGGAGGGCAGGTCTCCTTCTGAAGGAGGTATGAGGGGATGTCCTCTATGACTTGTCTAGCATGTGCAAACCTGAGTTCAGACCCCACCAAAAACAAAAAACAAAAAAACTCTTTCGAATTTAATGAGGGAGGACTAGGCATTTCTGTTGTCGCTACAGAGTGCCAGGACCCTGCCCAAGACCCATGCTAATCCAAGACTGATGACTAGTGTGCATGGAAGGTGGGCCTAGCTGCACACAGCTCTGCCTTTTACTAGCTGGGAGGCCTTTGGCCTAAGCTTTCTGGACTGCAGTTTCTGTGTGTATAATGTGATGTTACTATCCAGGGTTAAAAAAAAATTTTTTTTTGGCATTACTGGGGTTTGAATTTAGGTTTTGTGCTTGTTAGGCAGGTTCTTTACCACTTGAGCCATGCCCCTAGCTCTTTTTTAGTTAATTTTTTATGGGGTCTTACTTTTTGCCCAGGCTGGCTTAAACATGATCCAATTTAGGCTTCCTAAGTAGCTAGGATGACAGGCACATAACATCATGCGCAACTTTTAATTAATTGAGATGAGGTCTTGCCAACTTTTTTTGTCTGGGCTGGCCTCAAACCTCAGTCCTCCCTGCCTCCTGAGTAGCTACAATTACAGTTTTGAACTGTCATGCAGGTTTTTGTTTTTCTGAGACATGGTTGTTCCATGCAGCTCAGGCTGGTGGAGCTATATTTGTACCAAGTACCATGCAGCTTACTATATAATCCTGTCTGGCCTCTAACTTACAGTCCTCCTGCTTGAACCTCCTGAATGTGGTTGTATACTAGTATGTCTGGCTAATATTACCTCAAGTTGTCAGCATCACAAGAAAGATGTAAACTGCTTAGTGTAGGAAAGAGCCTAACGCAAGTCAGTAATCAAACACATACATAAAAGGGAACTGTCACTGGGCCATGGTGATGGTGCCTGTAATCCTTGCTACTCAGAAGTCTGAGATCTGAGGGCCAGCCAGGAGTTCTGAACAGCATTCTGACTTGAAAGCCCAAGCTATGGCCACTATATCACGCTGCTTCCTTTAAGAATCCTCCTATTGTTGCATCTCATGTTTGCAAAAGAGAAAAAAGGCCTATGTGGTTTACATTTAAGTGGTTTTATCCATCATCACCAATGTCAGACAAGTGGTAGAACCAGAATTCGAACTTGATTTGTTGCCACTGCAACAGGAAGTTTCCTACTGGTCAGTGGGCTCTCTTGGCAGTCAGGAATGAACAATTTCTGTCTGTTCTTCATTTCCCTGTTTCTGGCTTTGTCCTAGCCAGCACCAGCATAGCATGTTTGGGTAAGAATGCTGAGTATGTATGTGGCCCTTTTTGTTCCTTGTGTCAGCATCCATCTTGCCCCAACCAGTCCCTCCCTGGCTGCTGTGTGTCCTGCCCCATACCTTGGTCTGTTTCTTCTCTGTGGCATACACGATGGAAGTGCAGCACACCTCTGCCAGCTTCCGGCCCTGGCCATAGAAGGACCAGCAGCAGATCTCATCACCAATGACATCCTTGATGAAGAGTACTCGACCATTAAAGCGCAGGGACAGTTTGTCAAACAGCTCAATGTTCTTCAACAGGTGGTCATCAGAGTTGCTGAAAAATCCAAGAAGGCCAGCAGGCCTGGGAATGAGGTCTGGGCATAAGAGGGGATTGGTGGGCCCTCCCTGTCCCTGTACTGCTGCTGAAATGAAGGTACTGGTGTGTGGGGGGAAGGTCCCTCTAGGTTGGGGTACTTAGGAGGAAAAAGGATCCCATTGGCTTTTGATCATAGCAAGGAAAACTGAGGGAGGAGCTCTTCCTAAGCCTGGAAAGAGGGAGTTCTGTTGCTACTTCAGCAGGTGGTGCTCCTTTGTTTCTGTGGGGGGTGACACTGGCCATGTGCCTGTCCACAGGGAGTCACTGGGAGTCTGCAGCCACCTGTGCACACTGGTTTGCTGGGGGCCACAAGGGAAGTCAGTCCAGTACAAGTCCAGAGGCTGCAAGAGGTTTAGGACTCCTGGATAACTGGCTTCTTAGCATCCCTCCTCCATCGGCTAGGACAGTGGACACACCTGGCACACTCCTGACGTGTGGCAAGGTAAGGGCACATTTATATTCCATTATCTGTATCCCAACCTGGGCCCTGGGCCTAGTTCCAAATGCCTCTGCCCCCGACTGCCCTCTACTCCCAGTTTGTTACTCAGAAACACTGGTTCCAAACCCCAAACCCATGCCCGCTCGCCAGTATGTAGCTTCCTTTGAATCTGTTCTCCAAGGTTCACTTTGTCTGCTCAGCCCTGTTAGCTGCACTCACACAGCCCTTCTCCAGACCCCTACCTGGTGTAGGAATACTTGTTGTTGCTTCTATTGTACAGCAGCTTCACCACGGGCTGTGAGGGAGGAGAGAGTGAGGACCGGGCCGGGGTCTTGGCATCCCCTGGCCATAGCCCTCCATACTCCCCATACCTTGGTGGAGGACTCAATGAGTCTGTCCTCCTCCCTCAGGGACGTGATGATGGGGATGTTGCACACAGGCTGGTAGGAGCCCTTCTTGTCCTGGGTAACACACATGGAGCAGAGAGTCTTGCTTAGGATCTTTAGCTAGCAGGCTCAGCCAAGCACCCCCAAGCTTCTCTATCATGCCCCCCCGCACCTTGGTAAGGAGGCATTAGAGGTCATGAGGCCCCTGGCAACAGATACCCCACTTCCAGAAAACCTACAGTCTATAGATAGTAGGCCTGAGAACTAGAAGCAGAGCCTGCTCACACTGCCAAGTGTGAGCACACGTATGCTGGGTGGTTGGGCCTGTTCTGACTGGGTTTGTACTCACCAACCTCATCTCCCACTCAGCCTGCCAGAAATGTACCCTTACATCCCAGCCCCCCACCCATCTGTTGCATACCTGCAGGGCAGTCTGGCACATGTTCACTAGTCCCTGAATGAGGTAATATTTTGCTTCAGCCATCAATTCCTTGATTTCTTGACGGTTTTGAGGGAGGGTGATGGTGTCATCTCGGAGGTAATTCAAAATGGTGCCAAAGTGCTTTCCACATCGGTCGATGAGGATCCAGCCTAGGAGTTCAGTTCCCCCCACTCCAGATTACTGTTTGTATTAAGTGCCTCAACAATAAGAAAGCCGAGCTGGTGCCATGGCTCAAGCTTGTAATCCAAGTTTGTAATCAGGAGGCTGAGATCTGAGGACCATGGCTCAAAGCCAGCCAGGCAGAAAAGCTCACTGGATTCTTTTTTTTTTGCCAGTCCTGGGGCTTGAACTCAGGGTCTGGGCACTGTCCCTGAGCCTCTCTGTGCTCAAGGCTAGCGCTCTACCACTAGAGCCAAGGCGCCGCTTCTGGCTTTTTCTGCTTATGTGGTGCTGAGCAATCGAACCCAGGCCTTTATGCACGCAAGGCAAGCACTCTACCACTGAGCCACCTTCCCAGCCCCGCCCATGATTAATTATCTCTAATGAACCACCAGAAATCCAGAAGTGGTGCTGTGGCTCAAAGTGGTAGAGCACTAGCCTTGAATGAAAAGCTCAAGGACAGTGCCCAGGCCCTGAGTTCAAGCCTCATGACCTCCCCCTTTCCTCCTCCAGAAAAAAGACCACCTGATTAAGTCCAGCAGCAAGTAGCAAGCAAAGGAACTTTCTGAGCACAGAGCACGGGGCCCAGGGGGCAGGAGAGGGAAGGGACCATCAAACTGCTCTTTACCCTCCTCCCTGAATTTTAAAGTATAGATCTTGTCCCTGCACATATAGCCTCCTAGGGGGCAATTTCAAAGGTGAAAAAGAAAAGTGTTTTTGTGCTCTAGATCTGTGAGGCCTAAGCTGTGCTCTGTAATCATTTCCTTGACTCCCCCTTCCCTTCCCACCCTACACAACAAGCCCCCATGCTTCACCTTCTTTGTCGGTCAGCACCTCCATACGCCCGCTGAACATGGCCTTGAGCATGGTGTCATGCCGGGTGAGGGCCCGCACAGTTGTGTAGTACAGTGAGCCGCCGACATTGAGCTGCACGTACTTGTTGCCCAGCCCACCTCCCTTAAAACCACTTAGCTTGGGCTTGGCCCCTGAGGCTGGGCACAGACAGGTGTCCCCTGACATCTCCCGCTGCAGATAGATCACCACACGGCAGGAGGTAGGCTTGGAAGGCTCCGCCGTGGTGGAAGTGGTCAGAAGTGAGTGGCTGATGGAGGCCAGAACCTCATACTCTCAGTGCTGTGAGCAGAGGAGAACACAGGAAGTCAGCACAACAGAGCCCTCAAACAAGGAGGCTACACTTCTCCCTCCTTGCTCCGCCCAGGCTAAGTCCCTAGGCAACAGTAGCAATGACTTTGCTGCTGCTCCTTGTCTGGGAACACAGTCTCTCACAACACTGGTCTAAGTCACCTCACCACCCCACAAGAGAGGTCCCCAGGAACAGCTTGTCCTAGGAGCCAGCAGAAAGATTCCAAATTTACAAGGTTCCCTAGGTCCACACTTTCAGTCCAACCTATTGGGAATCTAGCCAGCCTTGGAGTTTCCCTGGAGTCTAAAGGACAGGATACATTTCCTTTCTCAAGAGTGCAGCCTCAGAAACAGCCTGCTCCAGGTTCTAAGGAAGGAAAGTGAGTGTGGCTGTGGAGGGGGCTGGCCAGTGTGCTTGGCCGGAGTTACCTGGACTCCCACTGAGCTTCCTGGCCTTTCCCCTTTCTTGGCAGTGGCCTTGCCCCAAGTTCCTGAAATTGTCACCATTTTTTCAAGGCAGAACAACTACAGGATGGCTATTTTTGCTACTTTTTCCTGAGAGATACTCCAGCCCTGTCTCTTCCTCTCTTCACTCCCAGTAAGAATGGGGAGAAAAAGATAAGTCCAGATGATAAATCTAAACATGATTAGCTAATGTGTAAATTAAAACACTAACAAGTTCACAGATCTGAGGTATGAAGCAAACAAACCAAGGTCGCCCTTGGGATTTAATCTACTTCCATCTCTCCATTGGTGAGGCTTAGTTGCTTCTTGGTTCTGAATCCATGAACTCAAACAACAGGAGATTGAAAAATATTTTAAAAATTGCAACTTGCTGGGCCCTGTTGGCTTACACCTGTAATCTTAGCTACTTAGAAGGCTGAGATCCAAGGATCAAGGTTCAAAGCCAGCTGGATCAGGAAAGTCCATGAGACTCTTACCTCCAGTTAACTACCAGAAAACCAGAAGTGGCGCTGTGGCTCAAATGGTAGAACACTAGCCTTGAGCTGAAGAGCTGAGGGACAGCACCCAGGCCCCACGACCAAAAAAAACAAAAACAAAAAAACCCCCAAAAATGCAACCTCACTCTACATCTTGTAATTGTTTCATAAACAATGTAATGATTAGTTACATAGCATTACACTGCATATATTTACATTGTACATTTTTGAATTCAGGGTGTTGCATGGCCTTGGCCTGCTTGGCTAGTACTGTACCACTTGAGCCATGCCTCCAGTCCTACTTTTTGCTGGTTATTTTGGAGATAGACTCTCATGGTCTTTTCTGCCTGGATTGGCTTTCAATAGTCATCCTCCAGATCTCATCCTCCTGAGTAGCTGGGATTACAGATGTGAGCCACTTGTGCCTGGTTACATTGTACATTTTCATATGCATTTACATTAGGTATAATAAATATGCCATCCAGAGGTGATTTAAAGTATACAGGAGGATGTGCATAGGTTATATGTAAACACTCCATCATTTTATCGTTAGTTCCTGGAGCCATACTGATGGACAACTGCATTATGTTCTGGGTATCTAAAGAGTCACTAGGCTGAGCTTAGTGGACCACTCCCATAACCCCAGCACTCAGGTATGTTGAGTCAGGGGGGATCTTGGATTGGAGGCCAGACTGGGCTACATACCATTTCTAATGTCTTAAAGAAAAACAAGAAAATAGAATCATTAAAATTCTTTTGCTGATGTAAAGGCACAATAGCTAAATATTCACTGTAGGCTTACTATGTAGCAGGTACTTTTTTAGGCATTTAGTCTATATTTTTAGCTCATTTAACTCAGCAATAAAACTATTGAGTAAATACTACATTACACAGGAGGTAACCATGCACAGATACTCTCCTTGCTTCAAGCATTTCAAAGAAGACCACGATGTTAACAAGAATTTTAGCTGAGGTCTAAAGAGAGAATTCCAGACAGATGGAAGAGTAAGTCTAAGTTCCTGTTAGAAAGATTTAGGAACAGAAATAAGGTCATGTAGCTGGTGCACAGAAAGCAGGGGAAACTGGCCTGAGGCTTAATTCAGGGAAGAGAGGTGCAAGATGTCAGTGAAGAGCTTTATTTTATTTGTAATACAGTAGAGGAATCAATTGGGAAGCTTTACACAGAGGAGTGATATGAACTGATTTATTTATGTTTCAAAGTTAGCTCTGGCTGCTATGTAGAGAAGGGATTGTAAAGGTACATGACAGGAAATTGGAAGGTCAGCAGCATTCTAGGGAAGAGGTAATGAAGTATTGGATCACAGCGATAGTGATGAGGACAGACGAAAAAGTGGAATAATCTCATAACATGAAGTCGGTTTCTGGTTGGGCATCATCTTTTATGCGGGCAATCCAGAAACATGGTAACTACTTCTCCAAGTTCACTGCTCTGCTCCCCTAAAAGTGTCAAGCACATTTTAATTAACACGTCGGCTTGTTAGTCTGAAGTTGTCCCTGGAAAGACTTAGAAGGGTCTCTGGGAAGAAAGCTGGAGGGGCAGGAGGGGCATCAAGTGAAGTGAATTCCTCCTGGTTTGTTCCTGTGAGCCAGGAGACTGCTACCAAGCACCACTAGAATGGGTGAGATCACCTTCCCTTCCTCCGCCCACCTCAAAGGACTAAACTCATCCTTTCAACAGGTTTTAGCAAGTTCCTTATGTACTTTGTGGCCTGCCCCGATTTCCCCAGGATTAAGGAAAGCTCGTTTGGCCAAATCAAAGGAAGTCAATGGATAGGAATGCCGCGAGAGAAAGACAAATTCCGGAGCTAATCCATTTCTTTCCCACAAAGCAATTGCCTTGAGCTCCTGGATGACGTCAGGACGGATTCCACCCGGGCCAATGAGTTCCTGGAATCCGGTGGCAGGGGACGCCCCAGAAAGATATTCCGTGGAGGATGCACTTCCCACTGATAGCCGCCGAGCCCTTCCTTCCGGGCTTCATGTGTGGCTATTTAGGGATCCTACGGCTGGCGGTGGGCCCCTGTCTCGTCGTCGGTACCCTAAGCAGAACAAAGGACACACCACCACGACGGCAGAAGGCAGTGGGGTGGTCAAAGAGGACCCAGAAATCCTTCCCACACGAGGGGCGGCAGGAGTGGGGAGGTACCCCTGATCTTGACTAGAGGGGAGCAATCCCAGGCTCCATGCAACGAGTCCCGAAGAAACTTAGCGACACCCCGCCTCTCCAGACCAGTGCAGGGTGGTCTTCAGCCTGCAGATCGGTTCTGACACTACCCCAGTGGAGGGTCTGAACTTCCGTCTCCCGCCACGCAGCCCCACGCACCCCCCCACCCCCACCCCCCAAGCCATGACCCGGCGGGGGCCGGTCCATCCATTCCTTTCCCTACGGCCTCTGCAGGCCAGTCTCTCACCGTCCTCCGGGGCGCTTCTCCTCCCCACCGAGGGTCGAGTGGACTCCGTACCAACCCCGGGCCTGTGGCCGCCAGTCCGCCAGCAATCCCGGCTGTGAGCTCACATCCTGCACCGGTCGACTCCTCCCGGAGCAGCGGCCCAGCCTTGACCTCTCGGGAAAGTGAGACTACAAGGCCCAGCGTGCACCGCGCTGGGCCAGGGGGATAGTCAGAATCCGCTGAGAGTCCCGCCTCACGCGCAGTTACTTCCGGTGGGCTGGCCGGCGCAAACTCTCCTGGGTCTTGTAGTCTCTTAGGGACTCTGTTTCCCAGCAGGCCCGGGGGCGGGGAGGGGGGCGGTGGCTGACAGAAGTTCTTCCGGTGCTAGGCAGTGACGTCAGGGGTAAGCGGATTCCGTAGCCGTGGCAGCGGCCGGTGAGGGTAGGAACGCGTCTGCCGCAGTTTACCTGAGAAGCCGTCTGTCTGCGCCGGCGTGGGCCGCGGCGTGCCGCCGTTACGGGGTCGGCAGGTAGGGCTGGCCGGGGGACGCGGGCGGGTCCGGGGCTAGGGGGAGCTGAAGCTTCCCGCTTTCGGGGGGGGCCGGCCCGA